TCTGGTATCGCTAGAGACCAATGCAACCTAACCTATACTAGATTAACCTAATCTAATACAAAACAACTTTAAATAGGAAATTTTAAATTGGAAAAATTTTTAATATTTAATACTTTGAGCATGACACTATGGCCTAGACAAAATCTTCAAGAAAATTTTGTCGCTGATAAACAAAAATAGAAAGAGTAAGGAATCCCTTCAGAATGACGGTAGTATTCAATGGTTCTGTCTATCGGAAATCAAGCAGTTAAATTTAAAATTTCTCACAATATTTTTCAATTGATGCAATAACAAGAAAAAGAGGAACTACATAAGGTATATCGCTTTTCAACGATTTGGAGCCTAACGGTAAACAATATTGTTGTTGTTGTTGCTGTTGTAGCCCGCCGGAACCAGCTTGTGTGCACCCTTTGGGAGATGTTGAACGGCGCTTAGCCATCTTCGACGATTGTCTCCGTTCTTGGAACCGTAAACAATATTAGTGAAATTTAGGGGTTCTTAAAATTCACAAACTGGATCTAAAACCAAGCTTTATACACAAACACTTAAATAACAATAATAAAAATTCAAGTTTAGTGCATCGTGAACAATAGTAGCTGTTGTCAGTATATCTACTTTATATTGAAAAATTCTATATATCAAGTCATATACTTGGCATATAAGTACTTCGAAAAAATGAAAAAAACAATATTATTTTTTAGGGTATCAATTTCTAACAAATGCTTTTTACAGGTGAACTGAACGGGATATTATTATTAAGATTTTTTTACTTTACTTAGAGATATTTAAAATATTTATCATTCTATCATTCAGAGTAGATTCGTTACAAAGTGAATTATGATTTTCTTGTGCTTAAAAATACCTTATATATTTATAAAATATAATATTTTTAAATTTTATGTATAAGAATTACCTGCGAACTCTTTGGATTTTGATATATTGTCTTTAGGTTCCTCAACTTCAACTGTGTCTTCAGGTGTTATTCCAACTATTAGATAATAAATATGAATTATAATAATTTTAAATATAACAAAAAACGCTTTTAAATATGGTTCAACCTTAATATATATCTACTTACTATATTTACAGTTTACTTAATAATTTTCAAATTACTCACCTTTATCAATTGATTGATTACTTTTGTCGGAACCACCTAACGATGCATGCACCTGAGCTTTATATAAAACTTTAGTTTTTAACAAATTTGGGTCACCCTCAACTGCTATTTCGTCATCTGATGAACTACAAATAGTTGCTAAGCTTTCGTCGCTTGAAAGACTTTTATTATGTGCTATATTTTTCTCAGAACTTTGGCATTGTTCATCTTTATTTAGTTCTTCTTCCTGACTGAAGCAATCGTCCGATTTTGTAATAGCTAGTTGCACGCAGTCGTTATTTATATCTTTATTTATGTGTGTATCTAAAACTTCACCATCATTAGGTTCTTGTTTTTTAGATGCATTTTGACTTAAGCAATGACTGAAGATATCATCCGATTTTGTATTAGCTAGTTGTTTGCACTCGTTATTTAAATCTTTATTAACAGATATATCTAAAACTTTATCATCATCAGTTTCTTGTTCTTTAGATGTATTTTGACTAAAGCAATGCCAAACAATTGATGAAATTGCTGTTTCTCGATGACCTCGCAAAGCATGAATTACGGCCGATTTTTGTACATCACAAACATATACGACTCCGCGTATTGTTCCCACAGCAAAAATGTTTGCATTAAATTGTGAGCAACTTAATGACAATAATTTGTCTGACCGTAAATTCAAAAAGTTACGCCGTTTAATATAATTCTGTGAACTACAACATAACACAATAACATCCTGGGAATCAAGAGTCATGAGATTAGAGTTGCTCATGAAATCCATTAAAACAATTTTAAATTTATCGCCCTTTCCCTCCACGTGACTTTGTTGGACATGGGCTTTGTGTCCATATAAAGGGCATCCTTTTTCGAAGTCCCATACTTGAACGATATTATCCTCGAAAAGAACTGAAAAATATCTATAAATAAAATGTTAGTTTCTTATGAAATCTAAAATTGTGATCACTAATATTACAACATTACAATGTAACTTAAATAAAAAATCTAAATCTAAGTAAAGCGCAACAGAACTTTTATACCTCCTTGAATTTACACCGTCATCAACTGGCCACTTCGGATCTACGCTTATTTCATTAATAGGTTGTCGCGTATAAAAACATTCCACAGTTGGGTTCTGGTTCTCAAAGATGGCAACATAATTTATGCTGCGAAAGCCAGAGTATATAAGCGCTCCATTTGGGCA